AATAAAACGTTATAAAAAACTATAATAATAAGCCCTAATATAGTAATTTATTATTAATAATAGGGTATTTAATACCTTTTATATAATAAAAAAAAAGCTAATTTCGAGCTAATAATTAAACTATATAAAAAAAGTATTATTATAATTATTAAAAAGCTATATAAAAAATTAGATCTTATTAAAATAAATACTCTATACGATCGAGGGGTCTATTAATTTATTCTTTATAACCCTAAGAAATATAAAGGTCTTTATATATTTAAATTATAAATAATATATAAAATTAAAAAAAAAAACACCCTAACTATATAAAAAATCTAAGTATATAATTTAGGGGTACGGAAACGTTAAAAAAATAACGCTACTTACCTAATTACTTATAATATAGCACTATAATTAATAATTAATAATAATATTAATAATATTACTACGAAAAAAAGGATATAAGATTTAGAGCTATAATATTACTTAGGCTTATACTTAATTAGCTATAGGGCTTATAAAAAAAATCCTAGCTTACTTACTAAAAAAAATAGCTAGTAAGTACTTAAAAAGTATAATTATTAAAGTACTTAAATTACTATATAAGCTCGTAAAATCGGGTACTTATTAATAAGCTATATACTACGATTTTTATATTAATTAATTATTAATAATTATATTTATATACGACCCGTACTTATTAATCTCTAAGTATAAAAATAAATAATTTAAAATCGTTAGAATATAAACTAATAATATATTAAGCCTATTTAATATTAATTTTATAAAAAAAGAAAATAAGGAGCTTTAAAAAGCGGGCTTTATAATAAAACTAAAAAAGGTCTTTATAATAAATAATTTATTAATATTTAATAATAAGATTTTTATAATTAAAAAAGAAACTATTATTTTTTAATAAAAGGGGTAAGGTAAGAAAATTACCTTTATTAACTTAATTATAATAAATATTAAAAAATAATATAAAGTTAAGCTTATGCGAGGGGTATATATTATAAATATATACTAACCTAAAATAACTTTTAATTATACTAAAGTAGCGTAAGCTATAGATTTAACTAAATAAAATATCGAAGTACTTAATAAATAGCTTAAATAGTAATAAAAGAATCTTAATTAAAGCCTCGTTTATTACTTAATTAATTTTAATATTAATAAGCTCTACGTTTTTATTAATAAGTTATTTATAAATAATAACGACCTTATTTTATAATTAAGATATATTATTATCCTAGTTAATAAGAATATAAGTAAGAGTAAATTCTCTACATATAATAATATAATTTACTATTTATTAACTAAAAATAAGTAAGTAATAAAAAGTATACTAATATTAAAAATTTATAATATAATTAATAGTATTAACCTTATTTATATAATTTTAATAATACTAAAGAGGATTACTAATTAACTTAACTTTTTACTAATCCTAATAATTATTTATACTAATTCTTACTCGCTATATAAATACTTTATTAAATTAAGAATAAAAAAAAAAAAGAGGTTTATAATAGATATTATAGTCCTTAAGTAATTATATAAAAAGTATAAAATCCTCGAGATTTATTAAATTAATAATAAAAATAACTTTACTAACGCTTTTATAAAAGTAGTACTTAATAAGAGGTTAAAATAATTTATAAATAATAAAAAAGTTAATATATAAATAGAGGGATAAGTTATATAAAAAAAGTAAAAAAAAGAGGGAAAAAAAATAATTTAATAAACGGGCCTAAGGTTGAATTATATTTCTAATTATAATAAGTAAATTAATAAAAAAAAAAGTTAATATTAAATTAAAAGTCTAATTTAACTATAGTATATAACTAATTATATAGGAGCTAATTAGGGGCCCTATTTATAATTATTATAACTAGCTTAATTTATAATTAGAACTTCCTTTTTATACTTACGTAGAAATTTATATAGTTTAATTATTCTCTTTATTAACCCACGGTTCGAACTAACTACCCTATAATAGGGATACTAACAATAATATTGCAAGACATAGTACTTAGCACAATGAACTCCAACCCGCTTGTTGTTTCTTAAGTATCTTGTATAGAAAGAATTGATGAGTATGTGAGTCCCAAGACGATTTCACGTCTGATGCCCGAGATCAGCTTGATCGCAGCGCCTCGCAAACAGGGCTGCCAGTATACACGCATCGGGCACCATGCCCACTATCTTCTGTATAAGAGCAAGCCCAAGTCTCGCCCCCAATGTACAGCACACCAAACCCAAGCTTGGTCGATCCTTTCAAGATTTTTGCATAGGGACATTCATTCGGAGCCTCGAAGAGTGTGAGTTTCTATGTAAATTGGGGAGGTTCTCAACTTCTCGTTATCCGGAAGCAACGCGAGTGGATCTCTATATTAAGTCGAGTGCTTTTCGGTACCAAAACATCACATATTCAAGTACGTTACCTTAGGTCTCAAGAGAATAGTCAAACATCATGGATGTTAGTCTCCGTTAACTGTGGTGGCATCTTGACTCTGACGAGATAGAAAAGTTCAAGTCTCCAGATGACCAAAAACTGTCCACTAATTAGTATTCAAGTACTCGCAATTCATGACAGTACAAGTCCACAGCTGAGCTAAAGCAGTGAGTACACCCATTCCATCTCCAAGATCTATGTTCTAATGGCGGTGAGAGGAAAGATTTGAATTTCCACACCACAAAAAAGCAGCAGCATGGCGACATTGCCTCTAGAGGCTGCTTTGAAACCAATGACATGGAATTCATCTTCTTGGTGAGGCTCTTCCAAAACCAATCGAACGAAGCCGTTCTATGGACTCAGCCCCCTTTTCCGGATAAACCCTGCCCGGTCTTGCATATCAGCCTTATTTCTTCCTACATCACAACGTGGAATGTATCTCTGTTCATCTTCAACATGTACAGAGTTCACCCATAGGCATGTCATGACTTCTTCACTACGCGGCCCCCAAGACAGAGACCGACTTGATCATCTCCTGCCACGTTATTGCAACCTTCATTCGGCGCATATGTCTGCCCGCATGTCTTCCGGCCACACCACTATGCTATCTTGAGATTCAAAGTGCAAGAATCTCTTGTGCGGACATATCTATTGGCCTGCCCTTCTCACCGCCTGGTGGTGATCAGTAGCCTTACCACAAAGCCTTGGAGTTGTCAGGCCTTGACTCACCTCCACGGTCTCTCAACCATGGCCGAAATCGTCGGAGTTGCGGCTGCTGCTAGCCAGCTTGCGGTATCTTGCTTTGCGATTCTCGAGCTCATGAAAAAGATAAAAGACGCGCCATCAGCCTTAAAAGATTATCAAACACATCTCCAAGAACTCTGTGATCTTTCCACCTCTATATCTCTCAATCCCCTTCTCCAGACCAAAGAGATTGGTTCACAGACTCTTTCGCTACAGGCGATTGTCAACCAATACGACATTGAGTCAATTTTAAGCAGAAGCCGTTTGTTACAATCCTTGGGATTTCTTCGCAAAGAGAGAGATCTGAAGAATACCTTGAATATTCTTGAAAGGCGCAAGTCCCACCTTTCTCTCATTATCCACAACATCGAGGCCAGCACACTCCACCAAATACAGTCAGACATACGTGTTATGGCAAACCGTCCCTTACGCAACAGGCCGGAGAGCCTTTTGCTTGGTCCTAAGCACGATGCTGCCGAATTCGAAAAACAAGCCGGTGGTTCATCATCCACAACGAGTGGTGATTCAGTCGCGCTTGTGAAGAGTTCGTATGGGCCTCAAGACTGGAAGCCTGCTCCTGCTCTTCATACCTACATGCACCCTCAAAGAATGACCAGCGAAGCCGAACAAAGCCACATCTCTGAGCAACATCAGGGCCATCCCCTTCCTACCGGCGACCGCTCTTCTTCTCAAGATTGGCCCCAACAGGAATTTCCCTTCGGAAGTGAAGTCCGAGGTCGTTCCATGTACTACAACTGCACGGCTGGTAAAGGCGTCAACCAAATAAACGGCGCGTACGTCGAGAACGACTCAAATCTGCTTGACCAGATGGCTATGCAGCGACCTGGACCTCACTTCAATTACACCCACTTTGGTAACGCAAATCCCACAGCTTCGTCTTACATGACTCAGCCCTCGAACTCTGCCGACAATGCACTCCTGTTCATCAATTGTACAAAGTCTGGGCCTGGCGAACAAATCAACAATATCCACGCCACTTACGACCGCGATTTATGTGGGCTTCCGGTCTTGCATGCCTACTATTCCGGTTGCAACATGCTGTCGGGCCAAGGTCCTGTTCGGAATGGAACTGTGCAAAGGCAGATCAACGGCCCCAGCCTGAGGAGACTGAAAAAAGCTAACACCGAGGATTGAAAACTCTTGACTAATTGTGAGAGATTCAGAGATCCTGTGGTTCGACTGGGCTTTGTTTGATGGATTATGTTGAGATTTGTAACTTTCCTTAGCGTGTTACTTTTTTTGCTTTCTCGTGGTCTTTTCCGTGCAAAGCTCACTTTCTTTAACATGCCTCTTTCTAATCCTGTTGTCCGCAAAGTTTCCACAATCCAAATGCTGGACTAGAGCTGTGCCACTCCTTAGAATTACGTAGAAACCTCAAGTCATTCTTTCATGATCACATTCTAGCCTTGAACCGTCGACTTAATCACGCTCTGCTAATGTACTCATATCTACACCGATAGAGGCTGTGGGGCGCCCGGCTCAGCATTATAAGAGATTCGACCGGCAGGCAGAAAAAAAAGTGCTACCAAAGCTCCTTTTCGGACCTCAGGGAAGTGATGTGTTCCAGGTCCGGGGGATGTCCAGCCAGCACCCTGCCAGCCTTGCATTCCTTTGAGTTCTGCTGTAGAATCCAGCTGGATGACGCAGTTTATCTCGCCGTAAGGATGAGCGTGATATTGTCCTCTAAACTCAGTATCGCTATCCATGAATACAGTCGTGATGCTGAAGTATCTTGTCGCCGCCGAAGGAAGTGCGATCTTGCCCCGCCGGTATTTGCGTCCGTCAATCTCGGTCTGCGCTACCATCCTTCTTCGAGACCCTGTTTGATATGGGAACAGAAGTCTTCGTAGTACTGATTGCCAGGTCCGAACTGCTGATTGAGTCGCGTCTCCAAGTCTTTACCGGGTGTTCTGGTGTAGTCGATGTGAGTTGGATGGATTGATTTCAAATAAATCATGTCTTAGGTGAAACAACTTACAAATCTTGCACCTCATTCAAAAACTCGCAACACCGAGAGACAAACTTCGCCGCCGTCGGCCATTGCGACACATCCAGCACCTCAGCTGTATCTGTCTTCTCCATTTTGAAGAACGCAGATAGGGAGGTGGAGTTGATGGTGAACAGGTGTATGTTGGGGGGAAAATGGCTAAGCCAAGATAGTTTTGTCGGTAGTTGAAGCCGGAATGCCACATGGTGCGGGGAAGAGGAGTCGCTTAGATCTTGTCGGTCACGCCTACACGGCTTCCTAGCGTGTTGATGACGGAAGCGATCGTTTAAAGTAAGCGTTCACGTGGCGCTCTTGTAGTTGAATGTTTGGACCCGACATCCAAGCCAAAGAAAGATAATTGTCCCTGGAAATTCGAACAACAATCGAAGAGTCGAGTATAATCATAGAACCGCGTACCGTTGCATCTCCGCAAGCATTTCTAACAGCGATGAGATTGCCATCTCTATCAGATTAGAAGTCTAATTCGACCGCGGCATACAGCTAACTACGCAGGGGCTAAATAGGGGCCCTATTTATAATTATTATAACTAGCCTAACCTACGGTTAGAACCTCCTTTTTATACTTATATAAAAGTTAATATAATTTAATTAATCTTTTTATTAACTTATCATTCGAACTAATTATTTTATAATAAAGATATTAATATTAATTAGTAATTAAATTCTATTATTATAAATTAATAAAATATTTTATTATATAAAAAAAACGACTTTTTAATACTTTATAAAATAAGAGATTTATATTAATTAATTTTATAAAAATAAATAAAAAAGGAGGCGATTTTTAAATACTATATAAAATTAAATAATTATAGCTTTTTATTATTTATAAGAGGTTAACGTTTATAATATTAAACTACGTTAATTAATAGAATTATTTAAATAATTAGTTTTTTACCGTTATTTTAAATAGCGTTTTTATTAAATAACTTCTCTATAACTAGCTTATAATTAAAAATTAACTAGTTAAATTAGTAAAAAGAAATACTTATATAATACCTACTTACCTAATTAATTAATATAATAAATAAGCTTAATAATATAATATAAAAAAGTACTATATAATTAAAAAAAAGGATTTTTAAATATAAATATTCTTATTTAATAATAAAGGTAATTTTATAAGAGTTATAAAACTAAGAAATTTATAATATATAAAAAGTTTATTATTATAAGGATTTTATAAATATAACTATAAGCTTATAATTTAAATAACCTCTTTATAACTCCCTTAATTACTCTCTAAGTATTATTTAAAAATATAATATAAAAAATAGTTTTATAAAAGAAAAGGGGATTTAGAGGTTTTAATAATATTAAACTAAGAATATTACGGATTTTAAAAATTAACCTAAAAAAAAAGTAACTATTTTAAAACAGTTTTATAATTTTTTATTAAAATTATAATTAGCTTAAAAAAAAGTTAAAAAAACGAGGATTTAAAAAGAAAAAAAAAGAATTTTTTAAAGGGCTATTAAAGAACCTTTTTTTTATATTAGTTCTTAGTACAAAATTATTATTTTTAAAAAATTAATTAAATAATAAAAGGAATTATTAGTAAGTAATAATTATTTAATAATAATTAAGTTATAAAAAAGACTATTTAAGAAATATAAAATAGGGTATTAAGAAGTAATTAAAAAAAAGATTTTTAAAATAATTAGCCCTATTTAGTATAAGTAATAAGTAATATTTTTAATAAGTTTTTTAAACTTATAATTTTATAAAAAAGAGGGCTTAGCTTTACTAACTATATTTAATTATTTATTTAGTTCTTAATAGCTTATTTAGCTTTTTTATAAACTACTTAGTATTTATTTTTAACTATTCTTTTAGAATACTACCCTAAAAAAGGTAGGTTAAGAAAAGAAATAATTTAGAAATTATAAAAAATACGAGGCTTAAGAAGTTAAAAATATATAAAATAATAAAAATTAATAATTAATAAAAATCCTAAAACTAATTATTATATCTTTTTATAATAATATAAATATCTACCGTTATTATTAGAAAAAAAATTATTAAAACTTATTCTTTTATATTAAATAAAAAAGAGGATTTTAATAAGTATAATAACTAGCGATTTAAAAAAGTAATAGTAATTACTAAAAATAATAAAAATAAAAGTAGTAATAAAGTAGTAAAAAGAAATAAGAATTATTTAAATTTTAATAAATTTATTAAGTAGTAAAAATATAAATTTATTATAACTAGCGCGCGAATTAAATATATTTTTATTAAAATTAAATATATTAATAATTATTAATATAAGTATAAGCTAAAGTATAACCCTTAGCGAGTTAGAGTAAAAAAAAAGAAAAAAAAACCTAATTTTAAATAAAATTCTAATTTTTTATAAATAGGTAAATATTAACTTAAATTATTAAAGGACGTAGATATATAGGATTATAAATTAGTTTAATAATAAGTAAATTAATATAATATTAATTTATTTAATTAAGGTTTATAAAAAGAAGGGGCTATAGGAGTAATCCTTATTTTATAAAATTTTAAATAACCTTAGTTATTAATTAGATAAATAGTTTTTAAGCGTAAGTTTAAGAATTATAAAAGTAGTTAATAAATTCTTTTATAAACAAGGGGTATTATTAATATAATTATAATTATAAAAACTATATAAGATTTTAATAATAATAATTATAAAAGAGGAATTCGTATTATAAAACTAAGTATAAGTTAATAAAGTATATAATCGTTTTAATAAATTTAAAAAAAGGTAAATAATTTAGATTTTTTTTTTATAATTATTAATAATAATTTATTATTATAAAAGGATATATAGAGGTAAAATATAGTATTAAATATATAATAATTAATAATTTTGCTTATTTTAATTTATAACTTATTATTATAACTAATACGAAATTTAGTACTATTTAACTAATAAAAAAGGAGGTAAACGACCCGAAGTTATTAATAATACATAGTAATATAAGGATTATATATAAATATTAAAAATATAATAGTAAATACGAGGTAATTTATAAATTTTAAAAAGATTTTTTTAAAAACAAAATTATATTCTAAAGGGAAGTACGAGGTTTTGTAAGAAATTTTAATAATATTTTATAATTATTATAAAAAAGTTAGGATTAGGGAATATTAGTATTATTTAGTAATTAATATCGTACTTATAAGTAAAGCTTTTAATTATTATTATAAAACGGTACGTAATTTTAATTAGAACGACTTTTTTAGTATTATTAACGTAATTCGAAGCTATTTTAAAATTTATAATAAGAATTTAGAGCTTTTATTTAAGCTATAAGCGATTTTTTTATATTTATAACTAAAATAATAGAAGGTAAATTGTGAATAAATTTTTTTAAAGAGTTTATTAATTAAATTAATAAATTAGCGAAAACTTAGCTAAATAAGAGGATTAATAAGTAAAAATTTAGATATTTTTATATTATAATTTAGTACGTATTAAAAATAAAAATAACTTTATATTAAATACTTAAAAATTATAAAATGCTTTACTTAAAGCTAAGATTTAGTTTTAATATTAAAATAAAAATGCTATACTAAACTTATCTCTAAGCGTATAATAGCCCTTATTAATAATATTAAGTTAATTAAATATATAATAAAAAAGGAAAAAAGACTAAGTATAGTAATTATTAATAAAGAGGCTTAGATTTATTAAATAAGTAGAGATTTAATTTATAAATAGGGTAATAAAAAAAGTAATACTTTATTTATAAAACAAATAAATATTAATTAAGTAATTATTTTAAAGAGGAGTATATTAAATTATATAAATAATATAAAAAGTTAAGGGTAATAAATAGTAAAACTAGCCTTTATTAGTTTAGCTAATTTCTTATTATATATAAGAGTAGATCTAGGGGTATAGAACTTAGTAATAGTAGTTATAATAGTAGCTTAGAATATCCGCTTTTTATAAAAAATTTAGAAAATAAGGAAAATTTTATACTCTATATTAATAAATTAAATTACAATAAAATTAATAATATTAACTATTCCTTTTTTATTTTATTAGCTTTTAAAAGATATACGAGGCTAAATAAATAAAAAGTAATAAAAGCTTTTAATAAGTAGGCTTTTATTTATAAATAGTAAGGGAAGGTCCTTTAAATAACTAATCTAAAAGTAAATAAAAGGACGAATTTAATAATATAAAATTCTATTTTTTTAATATTTAAAGAGAAGATATTATTTTTATTAATATTAAAGAAAATAGTACCAAAAAATTCTAGGGGTAATTAGAGGGGTTTTTTTTATATTATTTAAATTATTTAAGTACTAAGCTTATATAAGTATTTTATATAAATAAAAAGTATAGCTTAGATAATTTTTATAGGATTATTTTAAATATTAGGGTATTATAATAGTTAATAAGAAAAAAAGGGTAATTCTAAGCGCTATAAAAAATCGCATTAATAATACTTAATATATTAATAACGGGTATTATAAAAATTAGTTTTAGCTTAGGTAAGGAAATTATTACCCTAAGTATAATAGAAGTAAAGATATATTTTAAAACGATAACTTTTTATATTTTATTTATTAATACCTTATTTTTTTTATACTTAAAAAATATAGATTAACTAAGTATTATTTTTAATAATATAAGGAATAGAATTTTTAATAATAAGTATTTTAAGATAGTTAAACGACAATAGGGGTATATATTTATAAAGCTTATTAATAATACGAAGTTAATTAATTACTTAACGAAAAATAAGCTTAAATAATTATATTAAAGATTTAGGTACTTATTAGTTACGAGGCTATATAGCTTTTTAAAGTAATTAAGTAATAATAATATTAAAATAAGGGTACTAGAGTAGTTAATAAAAGTATATTATTAATACTAAATAAATATACAAAGCTTATATAGATTTAAATTTAAATTACGTAATAAGCTTAATTTTAATTAGGAAATCGTTATTAATATTTTTTATTTAAATAGTTAACTAGTTTTATATATAATTAACGAGGCTATATTATTTTAAATAAAGTAATTCTTTTAGGATTTATAAATAAAAATAGTATAAGTAGCCTTATAAAAAAGCTAGATTAATATATACTAAGAATTACTAAATAGTATTAGAACTAACGTTAGTATAAGTTTTAAGTTAATAAAATTTAGGGAAAATATAATGGCTTATAATATATAATTAAAAGTCGTATTTATAGAAGTATATTATAATATTAAAAAAGTAAAAAAGGTATATTAATAATTAAAAAGGGTATTTAGAATTATTAAAAAAGAAAATCCTAATTTTATTAATAATAAATATTTCTAAATAGTACTTAAGTATTATAATAATACTATAGGGCTTAATAAGCTTATATTAATATTATTAATATTTAGAGTATATTTAAAAACGACTTTAGCCTTATTATTATTATTAAATATAAGTTAACGAGCCTAAGTAGTTAAAAAAGTAATATAAGTGCTATATAAAGTAAGTATAAAAAAATAAGTTAACGAAGTAGTTACTATACGTAACGGGCCTAATATAGGGGCTAATTTAAATATATTTTTAAATTTAAATATATAAGTTTAGTACGAAATTATTTAGTAATAGGCTAGGTTATATAAATTAATTTTTATTAATAAGCGGTTTTATATAATTATGAGAGATTATAATTAGTTATTTAAAGTATTAATTATAGTAGTTAGATTATATTATACGGATCTTATTAAAATAATTTTTAATTTATAAAAAGAAAAAGAACTAGGGGAAATAATATAACCCGTAGTAAAAGTATAAGAAATTATTTTTAATAAAATTATTATAGTAGTATTAATAAATAATAAAAAAGAGGAAATTACTAAAAGAGTATTAATATTATTAATAAGACGTTACGGAAGATTATAATAATAAGCCCTAATATAGTAATTTATTATTAATAATAAGGTATTTAATATTTTTTATATAATAAAAAAGAAAGCCGATTTCGAGCTAGTAATTAAACTATATAAAAAAGGTATTATTATAATTATTAAAAAGCTATTTAAAGGATTAGATCTTATTAAAATAAATACTTTATATAATCGAGGGGTTTATTAATTTATTTTTTATAACTCTAAAAAATATAAAAGTCTTTATCCCCCCGACAGAGCAATCCGCCGGGGCCGTACTATATATTACGTATTAAGGAAAACTAAGTATATTACGCTCTATACCTAACTATTAATTAAAACTCCTAACCTTCCCCCGCTTTTAACTATCTAAAGAGTAAGCTATACCTACTCTAACGCATATAAAACCTCCTAGTACTAGCCCGCATAAATAACTAAATCCCGTATTATATACTCCTTCTTATTAAAAGTTAGGGGGCCCCTTATATATTCCCTTATATCTATAATATAGCTTATATTAAAAAGATTTCTAACTCTATAAAGCATAATTTCTAAACTAATATTAATATACTAAATCTTAACGTTTATACTAGCCTAGCTATTTATAATATTCGTACTATTACCTAACTAAATTCCGTACTATTAAAAAATACTTCGCTACTTCTTAAATATACTTATATTAATTATAATAACTATAGCGTTAAGCTAGCTAAAGAGGGCGCCTAGCCTAAGAGGGGTAGACTTATTAATAAGTATTTTTAAAATAAGTTCTCGTCGAGGTAGTAGTTTATATATTAATAAGTTTATTTAGTAAATTTATTTAATAGATTTATTTAATAAATTTATTTAGTTTAAATAGAGCTTTAGGTAATATTAAAAATAATAAAAATAAAAAAAATCTTTACGAGCTCTAAAGAGTAATAAATATTAGCCTATTTAGCCTTTTTTTAAAAACCTCTACGTTATTATTAAAGTTTAGAACCTCTATAGTTAAAAAAGGCTGCTTTTAACTATTATAGCCGACTATTATAGCTAACTATTATAACTAACTTTTACTATCGACCTTTCTAACCGGCGCCGCTACGTAAGTATATTACTTAGCCTATTATTAATAAGTAGCTAAAGAGGGTAGCTTACTTATCCTAAATTATATAGTAGTTTTCGTATTAAAATCACTATATTACGTTAAGCGCGTACTTAGGATATATTACGCGTATTATATAATTAAAAAGTATATTATATTATATAATTTCTTTTAAAAGCGTAATCTTATTAAGGTTGATCTTTTATACTTATAAAGCTAGAAAAAAAACTACTATATATTATATCGTATAATTTTTTTTAAAAGCATAATCCTATTAAGGTCGATCTTTTACGCTTATAAAGCTAAAAAAAAACTACTATATAAAAGTCTTTATATATTTAAATTACGAATAGTATATAAAATTAAAAGAAAAAGAATACTTTAATTATATAAGAAATTTAAATATATAATTTAGGGGTATAGTAATATTAAAAAAGCGACGCTATTTATTTAATTATTTATAATATAGCGCTATAGTTAATAATTAATAATAATATTAATAGTATTATTATAAAAAAAGGGATATAAAATTTAGAGCTATAATATTACTTAAGCCTATATTTAATTAGTTATAAGGCTTATAAAAAAAGTCCTAGCTTATTTACTAAAGGAAATAGTTAGTAAGTACTTAAAAAGTATAATTATTAAAGTATTTAAACTATTATATAAGCTCGTAGAATTAGGTATTTATTAATAAGCTATATATTATAATTTTTATATTAATTAATTATTAATAATTATATTTATATATAACTTATACTTATTAGTTTTTAAATATAAAAATAAATAATTTAGAATTATTAAGATATAAATTAATAATATATTAAGCTTATTTAATATTAATTTTATAAAAAAAGAGGATAAGGAGCTTTAAAAAGCGGGCTTCGTAACTAAGTTAAAAAAGGTTTTTATAATAAATAACTTATTAGCGTTTAATAATAGGATTTTTATAATTAAAAAGGAAACTATTATTTTTTAATAAAGGGGGTAAAATAAGAAAATTATTTTTATTAACTTAAATATAATTAATATTAAAAAATAATATAAAGCTAAGCTTATATAAGGGGTATATATTATAAATATATATTAACCTAAAGCGATTTTTAATTATACTAAAGTAGTATAAGTTATAAATTTAGTTAAATAAAATATTAAAGTATTTAATAAATAGTTTAAATAGTAATAAACGAATTTTAATTAAGGCTTCGTTTATTACCTAATTAACTTTATTATTAATAAACTTTACATTTTTATTAATAAGTTATTTATAAATAATAATAACTTTATTTTATAATTGGGATATATTATTATCCTAGTTAATAAGAGTATAAGTAAGAACGAATTTTTTATATATAATAATATAATTTATTATTTATTAATTAAAAATAAATAAGTAATAAGAAGTATATTAGTATTAAAAGTTTATAGTATAGTTAATAATATTAACTTCGCTTATATAATTTTAATAATACTAAAAAGGATTATTAATTAACTTAATTTTTTATTAATCTTAACGGTTATTTATACCGATTTTTATTTATTATATAAATACTTTATTAAATTAGGAAGAATAAAAAAAAAGAGGTTTATAATTAATATTATAGCCCTTAAGTAATTATATAAAAAGCGTAAGATTTTTAAAATCCGTTAGATTAATAATAAAAATAATTTTATTAACGTTTTTATAAAAATAATATTTAATAAGAGGTTAGAATAATTTATAAGTAATAAAAAAGTTAATATATAAATAGAAGGATAGGTTATATAAAAAAAGTAGAAAAAAGGGAGAAAAAAAAAACGACTTAGTAAATAGGCCTAAGGTTAAATTATATTTTTAATTATAATAAATAAATTAATAAAAAAAAAAGAAAGTTAGTATTAAATTAGAAGTTTAATTTAATTATAATATATAGTTAATTATATAGGGGCTAAATAAGGGCCTTATTTATAATTATTATAACTAGCCTAACCTATAGTTAAAACCTCTTTTTTATACTTATATAGAAGTTAATATAGTTTAATTAATCTTTTTATTAACCTATAGTTCGAACTAACTACCCTATAATAGGGATACTAACAATCTCTATTTAACTAAAAGCAGCCGTAGTAAACCCTATGCTACTGTTGCTCGCCTGGCGTCTCCGCTAAAGCATTTCCAACAACCCCTAAATAGTAAATGAGATTTGAATTGTGCAGTATAATTTCTTGTGATCAGGGAAAGGGTTAAGTAATAGATAGCAGTTAAGACTTGGGCAAAGTACGTTATGAAACGCCGTAGATGTTAATTTTGATACTGCAATACCTCTATTCTTATCAGGTTGCCTACTTAAAATATGACTCGCTGGTAATGGGAATATATAAAAGTCATCCTTCATAACCTATATGTCTATTAAGGCACGTACAAAAACAGAATTGGAGTTTTTTCCGCTGCTTAACATTCGTATCAAACGATTTAATGAGCGCCTTTTATTGCGTGACTTAGGCGCCGTTCTGGCCATTTGATACATTAAGGGCCAATAGGTTCGGGAAGATGATGTAGCAGTCCAGCGAAGAAAACACAGGAGAGGTACGCCATACAAAGCGATTTCTGATTGATGGGGCTACCTACTGCATCGTAAGATCGAGCGAATACACAAGTTTGGGAAATATAA